CTAGAACATATGCAAACACATGGGGACTGAACAACATGCTCTTGAATGAACAGTGGGTCTTATAAGAAATCAAAATAGAAAAAAAATTCTAGAAATGAAGATGACAATAGAACATATCAAAACTTATGGGATACAGCAAAAGCAGTGTTAAGAGGAAGGTTTATAGCAATAAGTGCCTATATCAAGAAATTGGAAATATCCCAAATGAATGAGCAATGGTTGCATCTCAAGGACTTAGAAAAACAACAGCAAACCCAACCCCAAATTAGTAGGAGGAAAGAAATAATTAAAATTAAAGAATAAACAAAATCAAAACAAAAACACAAAAGATCAGTGAAATGAGGAGCTGTTTTTTTTTAAAACATACACAAAATTGATGCATTATTTGCCAAACTAACAAAAAAAAAGACAAAGAAGACCCAAAGCTATAAATTTCAAAAATGAAAAGGACATGTAACAACAGATACCATACTAATAAAAAGAATCATCAGGAATTACTACAATGAGCTGTATGCCAACAAATTGTGATACCTAAGAGAAATGGATACATTCCTGGACACATACAATCTAACATGAAGACACAGAAAAACAAACAGAACAATAACCAAGATGAAAATTGAGTCAGTAATAAAGACCCTCCCAACAAATAAAAGCCCAGGATTGGATGGCTTCACTGCTGAATTCTACCAGACAATTAAAGAACTGATTCCAATTCTTTTCAAGCTATTCAAAACAACGGAAAGAGAGGGAATCCTTCCAAACTCTTTCTATGCAGACAGCATCACCTTAATTCCTAAACAAGAAAAAGATACAACAGATGAAGAGAACATAGATGCAAAAAAGACATTAAATACTAGCTAATTAAATCCAATAACACATCAGAGAGATCATTCACCCACACCAAGTAAGATTTATCCCTGGTATGCAAATATGGTTCAACATCTGCCAATCAATAAATGTGATACATGAAACTAGAAAACTGAAGAATAAACAACATATGATTATCTCAATAGATGTAGAGAGCATATTTTATAAAATATAACATCCTTTCATAATGAAAATCTTAAGTATATTGGATATAGAAGGAACATTCCTTAACACAACCAAGGCAGTTTATAAACTGGCAACCACCATCTTACTGAATGGGGAAAAGTTGGAAGCAGTCCCATTAAGATCTGGAACCAGACAAGGATGCCCACTCTCACCATTGCTATTCAATATAGTTCTGGAAGTTTTAGCCAGAGCCATTAGGCAAGAAAAAGAAATAAAAAATGATATGAATTGGAAAGGAGGAAATAAAATTGCTCCTATTTGCAGCTAAAATGATGTTAAATATAGGAGATCCAAAATACTCCACTAAGACTATTGGAATTCATGAAAGAGTTTGGTAAAGTGGCAGGAACTTTTTTAACATATGAAAATCAACAGTTTTTGTATACAGAGACAATGCCTTGGCTGAGAAAGAACTTATAAGATTCATCCAATTCACAATAGTTACAAAAACTTTAAATACCTTGGATAAATTTAACCATGAACATTAAATATCTCTACTATGAGAATTACAAAACATTAAAGAAAGAAATAGAAGACAGAAAAAATGGAAAAATCTTTCATATTCTTGAATTGGAAGAATCAACATCATCAAAATGTCCATACTAGCAAAAGCAATTTACAGATTCAATGTGATCCCAATCAAAATACTAATGACATTCTTCATGGATCTAGAAAAAAATGATGCCAAAATCATATGGAGAAACAATAGACCCTGAATAGCTAAAACAATCTTAAACAACAAAGACAAAGCAGGAGGCATCACAATACAAGCTTTAAGACATACTACCAGGCAGTTATAATTCAAAACAGCCTGATAGCCTGGTACTGGCACAAAAATAAAATTTTAGACCAATGGAAGAGAACAGAAACTCCAGAAATCAATCCAGGCATCTACAATCAACTTATCTTTGACAAAAGAGCTAAAGTCATTCCTGTAGCAAAGGGACAGTCTATCTAAAAAAAAAAAAAAATGGTGCTAGTAAAATTAGATCTCCACGTGGAAAACTGTGAAACTAGACCCATAAAAAATCTACTCAAAATAGATCAAACACCTAAATTTACAATCTGAAACCATCAAATTACTAGAGAACATTGGGGAAACTCTGATAGACATTGGCATAGGCAAAGACTTCTTGGAAAAGACCACAGAAACACAGGCAACCAAAGCAAAAATTCACAAATGGGATTACATCAAGCTGAAAAGCTGCTGCACTGCAAAAGAAACAGTCAGCAAAGTGAAGAGGCAACCAACAGAATGGGAAACAATATTTGCAAACTATGCCAACTCTTAAAGGGTTAATATCCAGAATCTATAAACAGCTCAAGAAATTCAGCATAAAAAAATATTAAGAATCCAGTTAAGAAATAGGCTAAGGGCTTGAACAGGCATTTTTCAAGAGAGAAAATTCAAATGGCCAACAGACAATTGTGAAAATGCTCAGCATCACTAGCCATCAGGCAAAAACAAATCAAAACCAAGGTGAGGTTTCTCATCTCACTCCAGTTAGAATGGCTCATAGATAGCAATCAACAAATGACAAATGCTGGTGAGGCTGTGGGGAAAATGGTAACCTCACCCACTGTTGGGAATGTCAACTGGTGCAGCCACTGTGGAAGATAGTTTGGAGATACCTCAGAAATTTGAATATAGACCTGCCATATTATCCAGCCATCCCATTCCTGGGAATTTACCCAATTTACCTAAAAGAAATCAGCATATGAAAGCGTTATCTGTACCCTCATGTTCATTGCAGCACAATTTACAATAGCCAAGATAAAGAATCAACCCAGATGTTGACTGGATAAAGAAATTATGGTATGAATTATACTATAGTACTATGGAGTACTACTCTGCTGTAAAAATTATGGTATGAATTCCACTATAGTACTATGGAGTACTACTCTGCTGTTAAAAAAAAAAATGAAATTCTGCCTTTTGCAACAAGACGGATGCAACTAGAAACCATTCGTGAAATAAGCCAGCCCCCAAAAAACTGATATCCTATGTTTTCCCTGATCCAAGGTAACAATAGAGTACCTGTAATATAATTTATTGGAGTGAAATAAACATTTTGAGATTTTATGACTATTTACAGCCCTTGTCTCTTTACTAGAGGAACAGTGGTTTTTTTTTTTTTTTCCTTCTTCATACTATTTACTTAGTGTATTTCATACTTTTACTTAAGTGTAGGGTTAACAATATGATCACTAAATTTACTGAAAATGGATCTTTGTAAAAATTAACCTACTACGGCAAAGTACTAGTCCCTCCTCTACTTCTGATCTAGCTTCTTTCTAATTATTACCCTCAGAGGCAATAGGTGATGGGTCTTCTATGTCTCTTCTGCCTTCATCCTGGCCAGCCCTGGCTGTTGTAGGAATTTGGGAAGTGAAATAGTAAATGGAAGATTTGTATTCTCTATGTCTCTCTACTGCTCTGATTAATTAATTAATTAATTAAAAGTTTACAGAAGGGACTTGCATTGTGGTACAGCAGGTTAAGTCACCTTTTGTGACACAGACATCATATATCAGACTGCTAGTTCAAGTCCTAGCTGCTCTGCTTCTGATCCAGCTCAGTGATAATGTACCTGCAAAGGCAGAAGATGGTGGCCTGAGTTTGGGCCTTTGCCACCTATGTGGGAGATAAGGATGGAGTTCCTGGCTCCTGGCTTCAGTGTGCCTGACCCAGTCCTGGCTATTATGGGCATTTAGGGAGTTTACCAATTGTTGAAGACTTGTAATTTGGCCTCTCAAACAAATTAATAAATCTTAAAAAGTTCACTGAAAATGGTGTATTAAAAATTTAAGAAAATATTTATTATGCTGATACATATAACTATTTTTTCTTTTAACTGTTATTCCTTTATATAACATTTTTCTGTTTCATTCATATATATTTTATTAACTGCCAAATATCAGAGAAGACATGATATTTGACTTTTGGGGATTGGCTTATTTAACTAAGCATAATTGTTTCCAGTTACATCCATTTTTTTTGCAAAAAGACAAGATTTTATTCTTATGGCTGATTAGTATTCCATTAATATAAAGAAAAAGATTTCATGTATATCATAGGTACAATACTAAGATGTTAACCATTTTTCTTTTTCCAAGGTTTATTTATTTATTTGAAAGTCAGAGTTACATAGAGAGAGAAGAGGCAGAGAGAGAGAGAGAGGTCTTCTATCCGTTGGTTCACTCCTCAATTGGCCACAACGGCCAGAGCTGCACTGATCCGAAGCCGGGAGCCAGGAGCTTCTTCCAGGTCTCCCATGTGAGTGCATGGGCCCAAGGACTTAGCCATCTTCTACCACTTTCCCAGGCCATACCAGGCAGCTGGATTGGAAGTGGAGCAGCTGCATTTTGAACCAGCGCCCATATGGGATGCTGACACTTCAGGCCAGGGTTTTAACCCGCTGTGCCACTGCGCCGGCCCCAATCATTTTTCTTTCTCTCTCTATCCCCTCCTTCCATCTAACTCCTTCTTTCATTCCTTCCTTTTTTAATTTTTGCAAAAACATAACTTCAATCCACTCTTAATCATCTGTCTAAGCAGAATCTTTCAAAGTTTAGAATGGAAGATCCTAAAGTGCAGACTTGGTTATGTATTTAATTCTTTTATATGCATTAACAACAGGCATAAAACTTAGGCTTAATAAATACTGCAACTTGAAATATGCATAGACAAAAATTCTGTTATTATAGTTAGTGTACACAATGCTTATCTAAGTACTCATAAGAATTTAAAGAGTTAACACTTGCTAACTGCAATTTTTATAATGTTCATCACTGACATACCTACCAAACAAAATAAGTTATTATTAATGAGCAGTTAATACATGTATCATGTGAAACATTAAACAATAAACTTGTAAAAAAAGGCTATCTTTCTTGTCTATGTTTCTTACAGACATTCCCATATTCTCTCAAGTAAAAATGCATACCTGTTTCTGCAGGTTTTATATTCTACTTTAAGAATTGGTTTACAAGATTCAGATTTTCTTCCTTCTCTTTGACTCTTTCCTAAGGAAAAAAAATATTTTATTAAATCTAATTTGAATTTTACTCATCCATGTGAATCTAAAAAATGAGTAAGGAATATAAAGAAAAATTAATAATATAATTGTGTTTTTCATAATTGCAAATACATGTCTATACATCTTAAAATTCTTACTGAAGTTTTCAATGATTTCTAGAGTTCTAATAATTGGCTGCCATATTATCAATAGTTATTTGTAAAATTTTCCAATTCTTATTGTTTTATATTCTTCAAATATACATCTAGTTTCGTGTAATGTTATTTTTACTATTTGTTTGAAGATAACTATAGAATTGAAGACACACATACATAGATAATTATCTGCCATAATCCAATGTGTTACCACGAAGAAAATATACTAGGATCAATATTTTGTCTATAATAGCAGCAAATCCTTTCATATGTAGAAAGACTTGTCACTGAAACCAAATGATGGACAACCAAAATTATTCCATTTCCATCTAATTCATTTTAAGGAGAGTCTATTGGACAATGAACATAGATTATACATTTCACAATTTAAAAAATTATTATATATTATGTTTCATAAAATGAAGATTCTAATTTTTGGGGAGGAAGGTTATCCAGTTTAGATTCCTTATGATTTTGAATAAAGGATCAAAAAAAGGAGATGAAAGTTAATTTACTAATACACATAACCCACCTACCTTTCTAGTTACACTTTTGGTTTAGCTCCACGTAGCATTTTGATAAACTTGGCATGTTTTTTGAAATGCCTTTTTTCTTTATTTTCAGTAAGTATTCTAATTCACTATTATGTAACACCACAGTTGCTTATAGACACATGTACAAATTATGTATAGATGTGTTTATATGTATATGTTTAACTAGCTTCAGCATGGCATAGCCAAATCCAAATGAGATGTCAAGATATTTTATTCAATTTGTTTAACAGGCAAGGAATTAGCATCCAACAAACCAGTATTGGCTCCATGGCATACTTTCTGAAATTGCCTTTTTATGTTTTATCCTATTTTGAACAATGAAGTAACCATAATTTAAAACTAGTCATCATTCTTCATATTGTAAAAAGTATATAAATATCTGTACCACATATAAAATAGAATTGCTGAGGTTATACGTGACCATGTAAAACATGCACATGTCTTATAAAGAGACAAATTTCCTTCGGGGTTCTCTTTGAACAATTGTTTTCAGATGGAAGAAAAAATATCTAAAAATTACTGGCTTGGATAAATGAAGTGAAAATGGAAATAACTGAAGAAAGTGACATAGCCCGCAGAGAGACCTATACCACCTCAATTTGTTACATTTTTCATCAGAGATTCTCTAAATTGCTAAACCATTCACTAAATGAAGCTGAATGAAAGTATATTTAAAATTGCGTATATAAGGAGCCAAATATTATTTTCCATTTAGTACGCATCAGTGTCATTAACTTATTTTCTAAGAAAAATAATTATACAATCAAATAATTAGTCAATGTTTTAGCTAAATTTCCAACATCAGCAAGTTACTTTGGGGTGAAAGTTTTCAGGTTTTATTATATGTGCTGCCGCCTGTTGATTGAAAATGTCTTTGAATGTGATATTTTATAAAATAACATCATCTACAATTACACTTATTGCTATCCTTATAAATAATAACCAGGCTTCCATTGGCTTAGAATTCAAGCCAGCACCGCGGCTCACTTGGCTAATCCTCTGCCTGCGGCACTGACACTCCGGGTTCTAATCCTGGTTGAGGCGCCAGATTCTGTCCTGGATGCTCCTCTTCCAGTCCAGCTCTCTGCTGTGGCCTGGGAAGGCAGTGGAGGATGGCCCAAGTACTTGGGTCCCTGCACCTGCATGGGAGACCAGGAGGAAGTACTCGGCTCCTGGCTTCAGATAGGCACAGCGCCGGCCGTAGTGGCCGTTAGGGGAGTGAACCAACGGAAGGAAGACCTTTCTCTCTGTCTCTCTCTCACCGTCTATAACTCTCTCTCTGACTCTCTCACTCTCACTGTCTAACTCTGCCTGGCAAAAAATAAAAAAAAAAGAATTCAATAGTTCAATAAATTAAACAAATAAAAAGATTGTGAGATACTATAAGCCAATGAGTGATAGATGTGAAGAGTTGTGGAGGTCGGAATTAAAATTAGGACATTATGGATAGCCAATTTGATAAGATTGAAATTCATGGAGCGGTTTAGTGAAAATAATGTTCGTAAGGTACAAAAGGGACAGTTAGTGGCAATCTATGCAACTTATTTTCAATATAGAATGTGGAGAGTCTGGCCGGTACCGTGGCTCACTAGGATAATCCTCCACCTAGCGCTGGCACCCTGGGTTCTAGTTCTGGTTGGGTGCTGGATTCTGTACTGGTTGCTCCTCTTCCAGTCTAGCTCTCTGCTGTGGCCCGGGAAGGCAGTGGAGGGTGGCCCAAGTGCTTGGGCCCTGCACCCACATGGAAGACCAGGACGAAGCGCCTGGCTCCTGGCTTCAGATTGGTGCAACACTTCGGTAGCAGCGCACCAGCCATGGCAGCCATTTGGGGAGTGGGCCAATGGAGGGAAGACCTTTCTTTCTCTCTCTCTCTCTCATAGGATAGGTGCTGTGCCTACCCTATGTCTAACTCTGCCTGTCAAAAAAAAAAAAAAAAAAGAAAAGAAAGAAAAAAAAAGAATGTGGAGAGTCATCAGAAGCTTACAAGTTGAGGAGTGATGTATGTAAAGCAATGTTTCAAAAGTATTAATATGGTTTCTCTTAATAGAGCAACTTGAGGTGTAAGAAACTGAGATTGGAAAAACAAGTAACAGATTACTACAATGGTGCAGGGAGAACAGAAGAGATAAGATTGAAAGAAAATGGACAACTGCAAAGAAATTTGGACTACCATTAATTTTACAAACATATACATTAGCAGTAACAGAAGAAAGAGAAAAAAAAGCAGATAAATATTAAAATGTTGAAATAAGGGCTGAAAACTTCCTAAATCTGCTAAAAAAATATTGCCTATACATTTATGAAGCTCAATGAACTCAAATAGGATAAAAGCAAAGAGATCTACAGTAGTAAAATGCTAAAAGACAAAATGGAAATTTATAAAATAGTAAGAGAAAAATGATGATTGTGTAAAACCAAAAAAAGATTAAGTGTTAAATTTCAGAAACAATAGTAGGCATCAAGTTACTAGTGGAAAACAGGGAACATGCTGCAAGACAATGCATAAGCAAAGACTTCTTTGAAAAGACCCCAGAAGCACAGGCAATAAAAGCAAAAATAGACAAATAAAATTATATTAAGGCAAAAAGCTTCTGCACAGCAAAAGAAACCTCATTAAAGTAAAGATACAACTGAAAGAGTGGAAGAAAATAATTGCAAACTATTCATCTGATAAAGGATTAATATCCAGAATCTATGAAGAGCTTAAGAAACTTAACATCAACAAAACAAGCAATCCAGTTAAGAAATGGGCAAAAGACATGAACAGGAATTTTCCAAAGGATGAAATACAAATAGCCAAGAGACAGATCAAAAAATGTTTAGGATAAAATGCTGGCGAGGATGTGGAGAAAAAGGTACCCTAATGCACTATTTGTGTGAATATGAACTGGTATAATCATTATGGAAGACAGTATGGAGATTTGTCAAAAATTTAAAAATACACTATGATATGATGGTTCATACAGTTCATATGATTCATACACTCCTGGGAATATATCCAAAAGAAAAAAAAATCAGCACAGGATACAGTTACTTAAACCACCATGTTTATAGCAGCTCAATTCACAATGTCCAAGATACAGAAATAACTCAGATGTCCATTAACTGATGACTGGATAAAAAAAATGTGGGATATATACATGACGTAATACTACTCAATCATTAAAAAGAATGAATAATAATGAAAGAGAGGATGAAAATGCTGTCTTTTGCAATATAATGGATGCAGGTTGAGCCCATTATACTTAATGAAATAACCCAGACCCCAAAAGATGAATATCACAAGATTTTTCTGCTTCATGGTAACACATAGAACACAAAAATTAATATATATGAGTGATACTGACATCTTAGGATCTGATTATTGTTTATAACCCTTGTATATATTCCTGCTGAACAGTAGCCTTTCTAATTTTTACTTGATGAACTCCTTATTTAATGGATCATTAAATTTGTGATTATAAAGTAAATTATAAATATTATCACAAAAGTTAAAAAGAAAGAAAGAAAATAAGGATGACTATAGGAAGGAGGAAGGCAGGTAAGTATTATATTCATAGAACTGTATCTATGAATTACTTGAAATCTATTATCTTTATATTAATAAACATTAATAAATAAAAGGTAAAAGAACAAAGGTCAAAAGGCACTGGGATATCATATTCAAACTACAAAAAGAAAAAAAAAACATGTAAACCTTGTTAATCAAGAATAGTACATTGAACAAAATTAGCTTTCAAAAATGAAGGTGAAATAGGGGTCTGGCATTGTGTCATAGTGAGTAACACTGCCCCCCTGTGATGCTAGCATACCATATGGGACACAGTTCATGAACCGGCTGCTCCACTTCTGATCTAACTCCTTGCTAATGGCCTGGGAAAAGCAGTGAAGGACGGCCCAAGTGCTTAGGTCTCTGTCACCCATGTGGAAGAAATGGCCTAAGTTCTTGGGCTCACGGCTTTGGCTTGGTCCAGCACTGGCTGCTGCAGCCATCTGGGTAGTAAACCAACAGATGGAAGATCTCTTTCTGTTGGTCACTCTCTGAGCATCTCTCTCTTTCTGTGTAACTCTGACTTTCAAATAAGCAAATAAATCTTTAATAAAAAAGATGAAGTAATTTCTAAATATACAAAAACTGATAGCATTTGTGCTAACAGTACTGTCACAATATAGCACTAGAGAGAACTAAGTGACTACAAAAAAATTACAATTACACATTTCTTCTCTAATCTTAATTTATTTTAAAAGCAAATTTATAAAATATATAATTGCAATTGACATCTATAATATATTTGCTC